CCTCACCTGCAGGGACATCTCAATCAACATCAGCAACTTCTTGATTCCTATCCAGACTTTCTTCCCTTTTACTTGCTGTGCAATTGTGGTACGTTCCTTATCCTTGAAGTTGCCCAAAAGCTGCAAAAACAATAAGCAATAATGAAAGCACTTCTGCACAAGTACATTAACGATGTTAGGTAATTCTCACACTAACCCTTAAGACAACAATGGTGTAAGCTACCTGACTGAGTTAAGCTGCCTACTGGGTTAAACTGATGAGATTCCCTCAGATTTTAAAATCGTCTGACCTACCTAAAGCCGAGATACAATTGGTACAGCGAAATTGCATATCTTATACCCTTGTTCTCATATAGGCCTCTATTACAATCTAGAGACATATTTGCTAGGGAAAGATGGTTCCAATCTACAATAAATATAAGTTAAACTTTTCTTAACATTCCTTTCTAGGGAGGGCCGGGGAGATAGTTCAGTAAAGTAAGCTCTTCCCTGGCAAGCACAAGGGTCTGAGTTCAATCCCTGATTATGAAAAAAAAAAAAAAAAAAATCCTTTCTAGGAACAACCTGTATGTATCACAGCAGGATAAACTTAATTCTCTTACCTAACCTTACCAAGTAAGTTGTTCAAACAGGTAACCTGGAAACCTCATACAGAAAATTTCTGTTGTGTTAGGTACACACCCCCCCCAACCCTATGCTATGAGAACTTTAAAATGCCTTACTACTATGCCAAAAGACATATTAGATCATATTTTCTCATAGCTCTCAATTTATTTGTATACATTAATATTAATCAAGTTTACTGGAGAACAATTTTTTTTAAAATGTATTTAGCACAGGGTCTCACTGCGCAGCTCAGACTTGTAGTGCTTCCTGCCTCCCAGCACGGAGACTGCAGGTGTGCACCATCACGCCTGGTCTCCGGTGCCGGCTCAGTGCACTTGGGGTAGGGTTGGTGTGGCATGTGGTAACAGGACTGAACCCCAGTCCCTGCGCTTGCCTACCCAGGCGCTTAGTCTGCTGAGCTATCTTCCGGGCCCCCAAGAACATTTTTTCAAAAGAAGAAATTTAAGAAAACATTCCCCATACCCTTTTTAAAAATATATATATGAGGTTTTACTATGTTGTCCAGGCTAGTTCTAAACTCCTGACCAGAAGGTATCCTCTCACCTCAGCCTCACAAATTCCTTGGACTAACGGTATGTTACCGTAGCCAGCTAGGAAAACATTCTACATTACTACATTTCCATTGTGTAACGTTCCTTTTATTTCTGTAGCTTTTGTTGAGGCTTCTAAGACTGTAATACTTGTTCCAGTTTACCCAATACAAGGGAATGCGCTGACAGCCAGTCTGAATAACCACCTTTTCTATAATAGGATTACCCTGCTCGTTCAGCCCAGCCAGGTTCTGGTCCTGTACTACCTGCATTCTATGCAGGCTGGGCACAGAGCAGTTCGTTCTTGGCAGTTTGCATGCTAACTACACCAAGGAATGGAAAACTAGTGACTGCACTGTGACCTGTGCTCTTCTCCTCAATTCCTGAGCTTTCTGGAGGCAGTACCCCAGGGCCTCACATTCTAGGTTAGCTGAGAAAGCAAGCCCCAGATGCAGTGGCTGTGCAGCCCTCAGCGCTGGGCCCAGCCCCAGCCCTTCCTGGTGTGCAACCCGCGGACACATTTCTACCTCCAGAGCTTCCAACAGCTGCTCCCCTGTGGCAATGCTGGGCACATGGACGGTGGTGCTGAACGCATTGAGCATTTCCATTTCTTGAAGGACATCTTTGCGGCTTGTGGTCCCAATGATAAGTAGCTTACGACCCTGATTACAGACAGAAAATGTGCTGTGATGAACAGAAGAAGGCTAGCTAGGAAACTAGTAAATGTGAACAAAACGTGCAGAACCCAGCTGTCTAATTATGTAAATGCAAATGATTAGGCAAAAGAGAAGAAAAATATTAGGGTTTTTCTCAGGAAAATCTAGGGAAAAAGGCATCCATAATATGAGTCAGAAAATGACAACAGCAAAACACCTCTTCATTCGCATCAGTAAAAACTGGATTACTAAATCAGACAGACATGTAGACCGTGAAGGATATATCTATAACTCCTTCAGAGTGAACACGTCATATGCACTTATGGCGAGAACTAGGCAAAAAACTGAATGAAAGAAAAGCCTGTATTGCCAGCTTACAAGGCTTTCTTATAATTTCTAGAAAAAGAATGATAGCAATAGCTTACATTTATATAATACTTAATTGTGAAAAGCATAAGTTGTGTCTTACCTAATTATATTTTAAATTTCATTATACCTTACAAAAACTATATAAAAATGTTGAAAATTATGCCAGGCTTATGCTACTATTTCCAATTCTCTCTCCAGAGGTAAAAGCTTTCTTTTTTTCTTCTTCTATTTTTCAGGAGACAGGGTCTCACTATGTAGTTCAGACTGCCCTCAATTCATTATGGAGCTCAGGCCGGCCTTGAACTCATTTTATAATGATTCCTCCTGCCTCAGCTTGTCAAGTGCTAGGATTATAAGCATGTGCCACCATGCCCAGCTTCTCTGAGCTTTCTTCTTACATTTACTGCTATATCTTTAGACAATAAGGTTAGAGCATTATATATATTTATTTACATTTTTGTACATGTTTATAGTCTACAATGATCACATTCCTCGCGGGAAAGTTGTTACATATACATTCACACTTTTTTCACCCCTCCCATCTCGTGATCCTCCCTTCCCTTAGATCTCTCTCCCTATTTCCTATTATCTATGTTTTATTTTATTCTTATTTATATTTAGGGTTTCTCTTCTAAGAGAAACCATATGACATTTAAACTATGCCTAATTTATTTAACATTATACTCCACTGTGTATAAATACTTTTTTTATCCATTCATCTGCTCATGGACATACAAGTCATTTCCAAGATTTAGCTGTAATAAATTGTGCTCATGTGAACAGATGTGAATGTTATCACTGTGAAAACATTATTTTTAGACTGTTATTAGATTGCTATTAAATTTTATTTATTGACTTTTTACTATAGAAGATGGGGGAGTACATCTGTGTCTTGGTTACTCTTCTCTTTATTGCTGGGACAAAATACCTGACACCCAAAATGAAGGAAGGAAAGGTTTATTTAGCTCACAGTTAGTGAAGGCTTCAGTCCATACTTGGCTGGCTGCAAGGCAGATGGCACAGGGCACAGGGCAGCCGTTCATGGCAGCGGAAAACAGCAAAGAGCAAAGGGAGGAGCCACAACTCTGCGGCTCAGCTCACAAGCTACTTTCCCTCCTCACACTGTAATGCAGATCACCCACCCCAGGGTGGTGTAGCACTCACACCCATAATCCCAGCATTGGATCAAGAATTAATCACAAATTCTAGAAGCTCCCCCATGACTGCATGAGGCTTTGGGGAGACAACTAGATGCAAACCATAACATTCTGCTCCTTGCTCTCCAAAGACTCAAGTACATCCCTTTATGCAAAAGGTATTTTAGTCCATCTCTAAGACTTGCCAAAGTCCTAAGAGTTTTAACACTGCTGAAAAGTCCAAATCTCAAGTCTCCTTCAAGATCTAAGCAAACTCTTAGCTGTGAGCCCCTATACACATGAAAAGTTAAACACTTCCAACATTCAATGGCACAAGAAAAAAATTACCATTCCAAAAACATTGGGACCAAAGCAAGTCCAAAATCCAGAAGGACAAACATTAAGTCCTGTAGCTCCACGTGGAATATCTGAAGCAATCTGTAGCTAATTCTGAGCTGTGTGTGGCTCCACCTCTATGGCCCTTCTGCTGTACCTCCCACGACTTCTCTCTCAGGCCTGCTTTGCTCCCGTCTTGCTTCTTAACCTCAGAGCTCCTGCACTCTGCCTGCATGTAAAACCAACACCAGGTGGATGATGCCAAGGTCTGCTGCCAGCTGGAGCAGGAGCCAAGCTTTCTTCTCTCTTGGCTATAGGAGTCGAGTGCCTGGATTGCTAAGCACTCTGACTTTGGTTCTGAGGAACAAATTCCCTCTGCCAGCACCATTCTGGAACTTGGTGTGATCGCTATCGCCGTTCTGGAACCTGGTGTTCGGTGGCTTTCTCCCCAGCACAAAGTCCCTCACCCTTGCAGTTCTGAGGCTGCAAAGAGCAGAGACCTGCCAACTCCTGTGATGCTCTCAGGCCATCTTTTTCCTCATCTTGTTCCTTCTCAGCAATGGAGATCCTCTCAGCTCTATTTTTGCAGTCCACAGCCTTACTGGCACTTTCTTTCTGGCCAAACTTACATTTTTAAGTCATCCTGCTGGGTTCTTTGCTCTTGATTCTCAACATAAATCTGACTAAGAGCCCCTAACAATAGCTATGCCACTGCCTCAACATTCGACTGCCTTGAAATTTCTTTTGCCAGATTAAGGAGTCTGCTGCGCTTAATCTCAGTCTCAGGCAAAGTCTCTGGATCTGAGCAAAATTCAGACAAACTTTATGTCAAGCCATAACACACATTGTCTGGAGTCCAACAACCAATGCAGTCTTTTTCCCAGCAAAAACCTCCCCAGCCTGGTCTTTCAAGGCAGGATTTTTATCAGCGTTCTATCCAGTCTTCTGAGCTCTGACCAGAATCTCCCATATAAAACAGCCAACTGTGTTCTAGTGTTCTGTTGGCAATTCTCCAAACCTTCCCCCCCCCTCTCTTTTTCCTTTCCTATCTCTTCCAATAAGCCATTCCCAAAGGCTCATAAACCCCATGGTTAGGTATAAAGTCACAGCAATGACCCCATTTCTCTGGTACCAAATTCTGTTTTAGTTACTTTTCTCTTGCTTGGGGACAAAATACCTGACACCCAGAATTAAGGAAGGAAAGGTTTATTTAGCTCAAAGTCAGTGGAGGTTTCAGGCCATATTCAGCTGGCTCTAAGGCAGAATGACACACAGAAGAGGGCAGCTGTTCATGGCAGTGGAAAACAATAGCAAAGGGAGGGGCAGCAACAGCTAGCTAGCCTCTCTCTCTCCTTACATCGTAATGCACATTACCCACCTATGGCAGGGGTAGCACTCACACACATAATCTCTGCATTGGATCATGAATTAATCACAAACTTTTGAAGTTATTCCTCTGACTACATAAGGCTTTGTGGGGATACCTATGAACCCTAACAATCTAATTTTTCAGTACTCCTCCCATAGTAAGTCCCTTTTTTCATCCTTCCAGGGGAGTTCTTTCACTGATGTTGAGTTAGATCTATATTCACTGTTATGATTCTGTAAGTATAATTTGCAACTAACCTACACAGAGATTATATTTCCTTTCTTTGGCAGCATCTTTTTTACTGGAGTTAATAATTGTATTCTTCCACTTTTTTTTTTTTTTTTTTTGGTGGAACCAGGGATTGAACTCAGGCCCTTGTGCTTGCCAGGGAAGCATTTATTCCACTGAGCCATCTCCCCAGCCCTTTATTCGTCCACTTTTGTTTATCCCCCAAAATATAATCATGATATGCCTTTCAATATATTCCAGTACACTAGGTACTCTGAATCTTGGGCTGTTCTTGAAGAGATTCGCTTCTTGGGGCCTCGCTCCTCAGTTTGAGCAGATCACTCCTTAGGCCTGCCTGCTACATGGCTACTGCTGTACAACTTTCCCCCTTGACAATGTAAGATCCCTCGTTTCCCCACCTTCTTTTTCTTTAATTTTTCTTTTCATCTTCCTTCCTTTTCTGAGCATACACTTAAAAGCTTCTCAGAAAGGCAGGCAAGATTTTGAAAACCTCGCCATGTCTAGAATGCTTTTACTTTCTCCTTAACACAACACCGTATCTATCTACTGTCTTACCCATTATAGTTTGATCAGGTATACAGAATCAGGTCAGAACAAACTTTCCTCTCATATTTCCAAAGGCACTACTTTTAATTTTATTTTTAACTACCATCTTTTAATTTTCAGTGTTGCTGGCTAGAAGATATACCATCTGATTTGACTTTATTTATTTATTTATTTATTTATTTTTGAGAAAGTGCCTTGCAGTGTAGTTCAGCCTGGCTTCAAACTCCTGGAGGTCCTCCTGCCTCGGTCTCCTGAGTGCTGAGATTACAGACATGAGCCACCATAGCTGGCCACTTAATTTCTTGACAGTTGCTAATCTTTCTGGTATAAGATGAAATTGCAGTACTGTTTAATTTGCAATTTTCCAATGGCCAGCCTGACCACAAATACTACTTCTGAGAAGCATCTACTCATTTCACCTGCCCTTTTGACTAGTAGTCTAATTTTTTTTGCCTTTTTTTTTTTTTTTTGTATTTAGGACAGGCAGTACAGGGTGTACAGGGTCTCACTGCATAGATCGGACTTGTAGTGATCCTCCTGTTTGGAGCCTCCCAAGTGCTGGGATTACAGGAGCACACCACCACGCCCAGTCTCAATCCGTCTCAGTGCACCCTGGGGGTGGGGCCAGCATGGGAGGCCTGGAAATTGAACTCCTGGCCCCTGTGTCTGCCTAAGTAGGTGCTTTAATCCGCTGAGCTATTTGGCCAGCCTCATTGAATTCTTAATATAGTCTAGATATTAGTACTCTGTCTCAGGAATGGCTGGCAAAAAATGTTCCCATTCTGTAGACTATCTCTTCACTCTGATGATTATTTCCTCTGATGTACAAATACTTTTAAATTTGATATAATCCACTTTGTTGATTCCTGCTGTTATTTCTTATGCAACTGGAGTTCTGTTCAGAAAGGCTTTGCCTACAACTGTGATCCCAACTGTTTTACCTATTTTATATTCTTCTAGCATCACCGTTTGTTTTTATGTTAAATCTTTGATCCAATTAT